GAGTTCTTCCACATTTTTCTACTTTTTTTCAAAATATTTCAAAATATTTTTGGATAAAAAAACATATTTTGAATTAGATAATTTTATAAGTAGTGTAGATTCATATGGTGTTATTATAAAACTGTAGTATCATGAAGGCAATATATTATATACATCTCTACTGCACCAGTTAATCTATTCTTCATAAATATGTGAATCATCTTAAAATAAATAAATTTTTTACATTTATTATGATGATATTTTTTTTATAAATTTATTAATTATTATTTTGTTTGATTTTATAATCAACACCCAATAATAATATAATATGAAGATGGAGGACAGTATTCGAGGAACCGACACTCTCTTATCAATTGCCAATTACGTCACATGCCCTGTTTGTAGAAACATATTAGTATTTATTTAGATATGATTGCGGATTATTACACATGCAGAATATTGTTTACAGTAAGATTCTTATTGTGGAGGAGGTGAAAAGTGAATCCATGTTCTATAAACAGATTATCTACTCATGCTCGTTATTATTAACAGTCTTAGATTCTGTAAAAAGGAGATACTGACCTCATCAAGCCGGTTCCGGACTTCAGGGGCAAGGGAACAGTTTGTGTTTGCCGCGTTAGCGTCGTCTCTCAACCTTCAATCAGGTCAGAATCCTATGCGGCCGGCATGCTTGCAATCACAAATTCACAACGGCAACTTGACAGGCTCGGGACGCATCTGTTTGCAATCTTTTTTTTATCAATTTGTAATTATTTACAAGCTAATTGAGGGTGAGGGTGAGGGTGGGGGGAAAGGGGTTCCGTGGGGCTCGAACGTGCAACTCACGGAGGTGAACAGCCCTAACTCAGGGCCCAAGCCCACTGGGCCGGAGCGGGCCATTCATCTGTTTGCAATCTTTGAATATAAGTAATATGGATAATAAATAATTTGCATATATCTTTTGTTATAATAAAATCAGTGATTCTGTATTAATAAAAACCACTAAGAAAATAAAGGGAAAAATCCCTTTTTTACGTTAATTTAATAATAAAAAATTTATTATGCAGACTAGCGTATACTGTATATAGCTAATTTTATGCTATAAAACTAATTTTATTATTTTATTGGATAGTAATTAATTAAATAAAGTCAAATTTTATTTGTTTATTAATTAATTTATTTTAAGTTACACAATAAATTAAAAGATAACTCTTATTAATCTCTTAATTCACTTCATTTATATACCATGCAATTTAAATTTATGATTTTTTTTATTTTTATTTAAAAAAAATTATCACTAAATTACTTAAATTATCGAGTTAAATTTTATTTTTTTAATACTCATCATGATCAAATTTAATTCTCTCACTTTATTGATTCATAATTAGTAATAAATTCATTTATTATAATGATTAGGATTTTTCTTTTTTATTTTCACCCTCACTTATAATTAAAAATTTTTTTAACACATTTCTATTTCTTTTAAGATAAGAATAAAATTAAAATATTAACATATAATATATTATTAAAATAAAAGATAAAACAACTAAGTCAAAATCGTTTCTCCTATTTTTTTGTTTTTTAAACAATGTACAATTTGGGGGATGGAGGATTTTTCCAAAGCCTCAATGTGCCTCGAAACCCAATCAACTAACCCAAACGTTTTAAAGTTTAGAAGTAAATCACTTGAATCTAAAGGTTAGTTTAAATTGTTTCTCTTCTATTTTAAAAGTGAAACAACTAAATTTAATCAAGAAGTACTAATTAATGCTAAAAGTGTATTAATTGCACCTATCTTATGAATATAAGTAGTGTTACATGCGATGAAAATGAGGGAGGAAAATTTGGGACTAGTGACTTGTTATAAATTAAGTTATTAAATAAATTGATATATATAATATTATAGATTTTAATAAAAAAACTAATTATTAATAATATTAGGTATATTTTTTTAAGTTATTAAATAAATTGATATATATAATATTATAGATTTTAATAAAAAAAACTAATTATTAATAATATTAGGTATATTTTTTTAATATTTTAAATAACATGATATATACTAAGTCATTGATTTCAAATTTTAATTCGTTTATATTATATTATGAATATAAAATTATGATAATACTAACAATATGTTAATTCAAGCACAAGGAGTTCAATTTTTAAAGCCTTAAGTTTCAATTTTATAAATAAAAAAAATAAGTATTGATATAGTCTCTTCTTATAGAGTTCAATATGATGTTATTTTAAATTATTTAGAATCTATTATAATTTTTAGATATTAAAAGTTAGTAAAAAAAAAAGATCATGATAGTTAATGACAGGTTGGAAAAATATTTTTAAAAAAGTTTAATATATATATTTTTTGCTTTTCATATATAACCCACCTTATAAATATAAAATCATGAATTTTTTTTTGGTTTGGTGGGTGAATATAAAATCATGATAATCAGCCGGTCGCGTTGAGAATAAAATCCAGCGGTTGCAGGGGAAATGAATCCAAACACCGCGTGGACTGCGGCTAGAGTACCCAAATTTTAAATACCGAAGTTGACCTCTATAAATACTCTCAATCTCCCCATTGTTGTTCCCGTCACTCCGCCCCCTCTCTTTCTTCTTGCGTTTGCAGGAATCCGGCCCGTTAATTGTGGAATCCTCATACCGTGTCCGGATGTCTCTGCGCATATCTACTCCTACTTTCCATAAAAAGCATGGAGCATCAATTCCCTGAATTCACTCCCCTCTGACCTTTGCTTGCCATAAACATAAAAACACACCAACTTTTCCAGTTCCCAAAGCACCTCAATCTAAACCATTGCAATTCTTTTGCTCCATTTTTTTTTTTCTCTTTCTTTTTCTGGGGTTTGGTTGGTTTGATTGATTCTATTGTTAGAAGAAATTTGGACTTGGTAAATTTTCTCCCCTGAAGAAAAAGAGGACTTGGGGTGGTTTTGATCTTGATATTTGGACTTGGTCTTTTTCTCAGTTTCAAGGTGTTGGTTGCATTGTTCAAATTTGTACGCTTTTGAATTTTGCTCTTTGTGTTTGTACTTTATGTTTTATTTCTTAAATCCCTTTTTATATATGCAAATGTTTGAGGTGAAGAAATTCAGATGAAAAGTTGAAACTTTTAGTCTAATTTCCCCTGTTTCTTTGATATGCTTTATTTCCAATGAGGGAAATATTAGTTTAAGAGTTTCCTTGTGATTTTCAGGTTATTGGATTAAGGGTTTGGTAGGATGAAGAACAATAAGATGGGTAGTGGAATGGAGATTACAGGAAGAGAACCCACAAATCACCATGTACGCCACTTAGCTGCTGATAGTGAGATCAACAGTGCTGATTATGCTACTTATACAGTGGTCATACCACCCACACCTGATAACCAGCCAGCCAAAATGGAAATCTCAATGCGGCCTGTGAGAACTGATGGTCAGCGCATGTCGAATTCCATGTTTATGGGGTTTAACAATCGCGTTACACGTTCCCTTTCAAAGGGAAAGTTCGTTAATGCCGATGTTGATGCAGAAGGGTCGTTTTGTGAGGTACCCGGGTGTGATTCTAGGATGATGAGAAATAGCCAGGGTGTAGAGATATTCCCTTGTGAATGTGGGTTCAGGATTTGTGGGAATTGTTTTAAGGATGTATTACATGCTGGGGATGGGATTTGTCCTGGATGTAAAGAGCCTTATAAAGGGCTAGGTGAGTCTGAATTGGCCATGGAGAGCCAAAGTCAGATGTTCAAACAGGCTAATAGGTTGTCCATAGTGAAATCAACAGAGATGCACAGGAGCCAGGGTAGTGATTTTGATTATACAGAGTACTTGTATGAGTCTGAGAAGAGTTATGGGTATGGAAATGCTGTGTGGCCAGCCGATGGTATGGATGGGGAAAAAGATGGGAGTGGTAGTGGCGGTGGTACTAAAAAATTTTCAGATAAGCGATGGAAGCCTCTGTCACGGAAAGTGAAAGTATCTGCTGGGGTTCTCAGTCTATATAGGTATGAATCTTTATTTTGTTAAATGTACTATTTCTTCGTCTTCTCTATTGATTATCTCCTATGTAAACATTGAACTGTTAGTATGGTGGGATGTCTTAGAACACGAAGGGTTGCTCTAGAATCAGAATTTAGATTTGGATGGATTTTAGACTTACTGTCAATGCCACTATCATGGACTTACTTTCTGTCCTTATTTCTAACATACTCTTTCAGGCTCTTAATTCTTATTCGAATGGTGGCACTTGGGTTATTTTTGCAATGGAGGCTTAGAAACCCCAATGAAGATGCAATCTGGTTGTGGCTTATGTCTGTAATTTGTGAAGTCTGGTTTGCCTTCTCTTGGCTACTGGATCAGCTCCCTAAGTTATGCCCAATTAATCGGGCAACTGACCTTGATGTTCTAAGAGAGAAGTTTGAAACCCCTAATCCCAATAATCCTTCAGGAAAATCTGATCTACCGGGCATAGATGTCTTTGTTTCAACTGCAGATCCAGAGAAAGAACCACCACTTGTCACTGCAAACACCATTCTTTCAATTTTGGCAGCTGACTATCCAGTTGACAAACTGTCCTGTTATGTTTCTGATGATGGAGGCGCCCTGTTAACCTTTGAGGCCATGGCAGAGGCTGCTAGTTTTGCCAAACTTTGGGTTCCTTTCTGCCGGAAACATGACATTGAGCCAAGAAATCCAGAATCCTATTTCAATATGAAGAGAGATCCTTACAGAAACAAGGTACGCCCAGATTTTGTAAGAGATCGCAGGCGGGTAAAACGTGAGTATGATGAGTTCAAGGTTCGGATCAATGGCCTATCTGATTCAATCCGAAGGCGTTCTGATGCCTTCAATACTAGAGAAGAGGTCAAGGCTTTGAAACGTTGGAAGGAGAACAATGACGATGAACCAATGGAAACTTTGAAAATCACAAAAGCTACTTGGATGTCTGATGGAACCCATTGGCCTGGCACTTGGACAGTTCCTACCCCTGAGCACTCTAGGGGTGATCATGCCAGTATCATTCAGGTAATAGCAATTCACAATAGTTTATCATCTATTAGTTCAGGTAATATCAATGTCTGATGAACCCTAATCCCAATAATCCTTCAGGAAAAAATCTGATCAAACTTTTTCCATCATTCTTATAATGTATGGGGCTGGGTTTCTCATGTTCAGTTATCTAGCATTGGCTTGTTTGCGTTTAACTTTATTTCAAGAGGGACTTGGTGTCACTTGATAGTTAATGTTTCATTGAAATCAGTTTCTTAGCATCTATTGTTAACAAAAAAGCTGAATTTTGAATTGTTTGATTTTTCATTCTGTTAGTTAGCTTGAACATGTCGACAAATAACATAAGTTTTACCAACTTTAGGTGATGTTGGATCCTCCGAGTGATGAACCACAAAAAGGTAAAGAAGGTGATGGAAATTCCATGGATCTAAGTGAAGTTGACATTCGTCTTCCTATGCTGGTTTACGTTACTCGTGAAAAGCGACCTGGTTATGATCACAACAAGAAGGCAGGGGCCATGAATGCTCTTGTTCGAGCCTCCGCAATTATGTCCAATGGCCCTTTTATTCTTAATCTTGACTGTGACCACTACATCTTCAATTCCCAAGCACTTAGAGAGGGAATGTGCTTTTTGATGGACCGTGGTGGGGACCGAATTTGTTATGTCCAGTTTCCTCAAAGGTTTGAAGGGATCGACCCATCTGATCGCTATGCCAATCACAACACTGTTTTCTTTGATGTTAACATGCGAGCTCTTGATGGGATTCAGGGTCCAGTATATGTTGGAACAGGATGCCTATTTCGCCGCACTGCTATATATGGCTTTGACCCGCCTTCATCAGGAGATGAAACTGGTTGCTGCAGCTGCTGCTTTCCTCGGCACAGGAAGGTAGTCGTTGCATCTGCCCCAGAACCTGACTCTGAAGAGAATTGGTTGCGGGATGATGATAGAATGAATCTTGCTCTTATTCCCAAGAAATTTGGAAACTCAAGCATGCTTGTTGAATCCATCCAGGTGGCAGCAATTCAGGGCCTGCCTCTGGCAGATCACCCTTCTATAAAAAATGGACGGCCACCTGGTGCACTCACTAAACCTAGGAAGCCTCTTGATCCATTCATTGTTGGAGAGGCAATCAATGTCATCTCATGCTGGTATGAAGACAAGAGTGAATGGGGGCAAAGCGTTGGGTGGATTTATGGGTCAGTGACAGAGGATGTGGTCACAGGGTATAGGATGCATGATCGTGGGTGGAGGTCTGTCTATTGTGTGACTAAGAGAGATGCCTTCCGTGGCACTGCTCCAATAAATCTCACAGATAGGCTTCACCAGGTACTACGCTGGGCCACCGGCTCTGTCGAGATATTCTTCTCACGCAACAACGCCCTTCTAGCAGGTCCTCGGCTCAAGTTTCTGCAGAGAATCGCTTACCTTAATGTTGGAATATACCCTTTCACTTCCATATTCCTCATTGTTTACTGTTTCCTCCCAGCCCTTTCACTCTTCTCCGGTCAGTTCATAGTTCAAACTCTCAGGCTAAGCTTCCTTATCTACCTCTTGGCAATCACCTTGACCCTCTGTGCTCTTGCCGTGCTTGAGATCAAGTGGTCTGGCATTGCACTTGAAGAATGGTGGAGGAACGAGCAGTTTTGGTTGATTGGAGGCACAAGTGCTCATCTTGCTGCAGTGCTTCAGGGGCTACTAAAAGTGATTGCAGGAATTGAGATATCATTCACATTGACATCAAAATCAGCAGGCGATGACGTAGATGATGAGTTTGCCGATCTCTATATCTTTAAATGGACATCCCTGATGATACCACCACTTACAATCATTATGGTGAACTTGATTGCAATAGCTGTTGCAGTTTGCCGTACAATATACAGCACTACACCTGAGTGGAGCAAGTTGTTAGGAGGTGTGTTCTTCAGCTTCTGGGTATTGGTTCACTTGTACCCCTTTGCAAAAGGTCTTATGGGAAGACGAGGAAAGACACCGACAGTTATATACATTTGGTCAGGTCTAATTGCTGTCTCTATTTCTCTGCTTTGGGTAGCTATCAATCCCCCATCAGCAAATTCGGACATCGGAGGAAGTTTCCAGTTCCCCTGAGTAGAAAAGGATCGCCCTGAGCTATACTCATTCTTCCTATACCTGTAGATGTTTCTTTGTAGATCATTTCACATTAATTTCAAACAATGTTGCTCTGATGATACCATTGTTTCCTGACTTCTAGAAATGTTCTTTTTGATACACAGAATCATTTTGTATAGACATACATTCATTTCGAAATACAGGTGTTCATAATTGATTAAAGCTAGTTCTTTCATTAGCAATGATTCATTGTGTTTGTCTTCCATAACTGGTTGCCTGTGTTTTTTTGTTGTGTACAAGCCCAAATCAATTAAGTTTTTTTTAAGTTATTGAATACTAACTCAGTTAAGTTTTTGCCGATTCTATAGTTAACCCAAATTTGCGGACAAATATGATATATATGTCAGGTTTCTTGATTCTTCACTACAAGTTTCCTATGCAGCCATGCCTTGGAGGTCCTGAAGAGTTTGGTAATGGTTGAACAACTACTGAAACACTTCTTTGAAGTCTTAAACCTTTCTTCAGATTTACAATTCATTGCATGCTGATGTTTACTTCTTCCTTAGACATTGTGACATTTTTCTGTAGCAGGTTCATATTGCAACCATCCAAGTTTGCATTCCGGTGAATAAATGCGAAGACTGAAGCAAAATAACTATATTATGCTTAATTTTGAAAATTGAATCAAAAACAGGGTTCTATGGTGTAGTGGTTAGCACTCTGGACTTTGAATCCAGCGACCTGGGTTCGACTCCCGGTAGGACCTTCATTTCATTTTTTCAATATATAAAAAATAGTGCATCATTCATCATTGTGCATGACAGGGAGGCATTGAATCATATCTTCTTGAGTAACTTCATCAGCTTTTATTTATAAAACCATCAAAGTAGCAGCTGTCACAACTCACAAGGGATAAATATAGAAGTTGATTAATTCAATTAATACACATTATTTTTTTTTTTGTAGATTAGTTTTGTGATGTAAGCTTAGCATTAATTATATTTTAGTAAAGTCTTCAGTTTATAGTCATCGTAGCATTTCATGCAATAATGTATAAAATAAGGTAGGCTTGCCTCATCCAATGCCAGTTTTCTTCTTGTTGTGTGGCATCATTTCAATAATTCTACCAGTAGCATATAATTTCAAACCAAATAGATTAGAGACATTGAACATTTTAAAACACCCAAAATTATGGACCCTTTCTTCCATAATGAGCACCAAGAAGATAAAGATAAAGATAAAGATAAAGATAAAGATAGAGATGGACGTAATGAATGTATAAAGAACATTATGGCGGTTGTTTTACCTAATTAACAAGATCAACAATGTTATGACAAAAAAAAAAGACCAACATTTTGTTCTCAGTGATTATATATTATTTAATTTAGCTATAAAAATAAGTTATTACATGATCTATTTTTTCATGTTTTAATTATTTTGTACCATCCAACTAGCAAAAAAATTTCTTTTATTTATTTATATGCTAGTTATTACAAGAAAAATAATTAAAAAAATTTTATGAACAAATCAAACACCATATAAGATATGTTTTGGTTTAATAAATATAAACAGAAAAGAGATAAGGAATTCTTTTTCATCCAATCAAATTAAGATTTTAATCCAAAATCTTAATTCGTTTAAATAAAAAATTTTCTCTTTGCCCTTTTGTCTCTATTTTTCTCCAAGCAAACATACCTTTATTATTAAAAAAAAAATGAAAATCTAAAGCACAATAATTTTTTTTTTTTTTTTGCATCTAAGCCTGGTCGGAACCAGTAGAAACCCGAGGCCGTTTCCTGTGGCGGATCCTTGAGTTTCTAATCTGTTTCCTCGTACTCCCGCCAAATTTCAACATTCCCGTTTCCTGGAACCGCTCCTGCTCCATTGGAACGAGGACACATTCCGGTGGTGGCACAGGGTACCGCAACTTGTCGTAGCAGTATGAGTAGAACATGTATTGCTGGCGGAATTTCCGCATGGCAGTCCGACGCTTAGGAGTTATGACGGCGTAGTCGCGGCTCCCGAGGAAGCCAGCCTCCTCGGAGCAAACAGCGTCCGGGGACTCCTTGATGGGTTCGAAACGGCAGCCCTCTAGCGCAAAGTCCTTAAACTCGGAAGTAAACGGGGCATACTTATAGTCCACGCCATTCTTGCCGCCATTCGTGGCCCAGTTTGAGGCGTCCCATATGGTGGCGTATAAGGACATCGGCTTGGATGGATAGTCGCCGCCCATTTCTTCGCTACGAACCACCTCCCTAATCGGAACGTCATCAACGTAAAATCTAGAAAAAAAAATAATAAAAAAAACCCAAATTCAGCAAAGAAACAGCGAAGTTAGGCGGATTTATTAGAGAACTTCATAGATTTTCCCACAGGAAATTCCACCTGTTTCGCAGCCAATGAGATGATCAAAACCTAATTATAGAGTCACATGCAAAATTGTTCATAATTTCTATAACAAAGCAGATAAGTCCTTAACGTTTTAAAGAATTAAGGACCTAATTGCTCGATTTTAAAATTTTAGGATTATCTGCAAGCAAACTTAAAAATTAAAGGACTCAATTAGTGATATCACCCAATTTTTATTAGTCAAAGGAAAATGTGAAACAGAGCATGTCGTCAATGCGTTCATGTTGAAAGTCCGACAATTAGGTTGGATAATTGCCTAACTTCCCTGAAACGGAAAGGAAGGAAAAAGAAGTGAGGGGATCGAGGAACATGGTCGGGGTTTAGGACAACTCACATGATGTTCTTGGCTGTCCAAAGAATGCTGTATCTGTGAAATTCCTTCGACGGGTCGAACCAGAGGAAGTACCTCTCCTCCCTACCCGTGCTTGTGCTCCCGTTTCCATACAAGTTTGTTTGGAATCTCCATGGCTGTCCTTCAACGTTCCCTAAGAACTCAAAGTCCAATTCGTCATGGTTCTTCTCGAAAACGGCGCCGTTTGATGTCTGCACCCCAAGAAAATTAATACCCATGATTTCCTTTCCTATCCTCTCTCAAAATTTCTAGGAGTAGATATCATATATGGGGAAAAAAAAAAAGAATATATATATATAGCTTAAAATCATTTCTTGTTTAATTTCATAGACCAAAATTTCCATTAATAAAAACAAAATCGAATAATAATCATCACTTACATAGAAGGCGACCACGATTCCGGCAGTATGATCAGATGGTAACTTGATTTTGGCACTGAAAAAACCATACTGGTACATACTCGAAGAAATAAAACCCGACCCTAGATTTCAAAAAAAAAAAAAAAAGTATTTTTTATAAAAATGGGTAAAATATTTATTTTAATAAAATTATATGTTGAATTGTATAATCTAACTAAAAGACCACCTTTTTTTTTAAAAAAAAAATTATAACTTTTAAGAACTCTCACTCAGAATAATTTAAATACTATATACTAATTTAGCACATAGTATCTTCCAAGAACTCATACTTTTTTAAAAATATTTTTGGCCAGGAAAAGTCAGAATAA